AGGGTCCCCGTTCCGACACCCTTTGCTCTTTTCCCCTATCCTAGTCTACAAATGGCAAAAGCCTCCACCCGGGTCATGAAATCTCAGAAAGTCCCCACATGCAGCTTAAAGAAAAGCAGACTCTATCGAGCTCGGGACGAGGAAGGTGAGCAGATCTAGCCAGAGTCCGGAACTGAGTGTCTGGCCACGGGCTGTCCTCGGCTACCTTGGAAGGCGAGGCCGCGGGGCTCCGGCTCGGCAGACTGCGGGGCCCCAGCCACGGCCCCCAAAGCCGGTCCAAGAAGGCAGGTAGAGGCTCCGACATGGCCAGGACAGTGCGGCCGGCCGCAGGTGCTCAGGCCTGGCCGGGACCGGGCAGCCGTCAGGCCTCACCGCTCCGCGACCCTTCCCTGCAGGATCGGCACCGCGCCCGCCGTTGGAGTCCCGCCACGCGCACCGAGTCCCCGTGGGAGACGGCCGCACAGACCGCCGCGCACTCACCATTGTCACCGCCGCCGGGTCCCCCACTTCACTTGGCTTTTCCTCGGGAGAACTCCCAGCCCGGCTGCCTGCGCCCCGCCGCACGTCACGTGACCGTAGGCCACCAGCCGCACGTGACCACTCTTTCCCTCTCCGCCCTCCTCCACTCTGGCCACGCCCACTGAAGGCACGCCCTTCAGAAAGGCCGTTTGGAGGGGGGGTTTCTTTGCTCCGCCCTTCATGTGAGAGGCGTGGTCGCTGTGGCTGACGTCAGGTGGGAGGGGTCGAAGCACGGTCTCCCAATCCCCCAAAACCTAGAGCTGTCACGTGATGAGCAGTGAGTCCTGGAACTCCTACCCGGGAACTCCTGGAACTCCTCCCCAGGGAAGTTTGGGGGGGCTCGGAAGGAAGCGCGGGTTTGTTGGAGAGGAAATTCTTGCAGGCTTGCTGCATTCCCGACCTTCGCACCTTCCCTCACCTGAAGTGGTTTCCCGCCTCACCCCCGAGACCAATAGAGAGAAAAACTTAATCTTAGAGCCCGTCCTCTGCAGTCCAGGAAGACCTCGCGACCCGGCCAAGGACCAGAGACTGGGCTCACAAACGGGTTCCGCCCTCTTCCCTCGTTTCAGCCCTTCCGGAAAGTTCCGGGAGAGTGCAAAGAACCGTGACCCCATCGTTGTTAGTGCGGGCCTAGAAGAGCTGAGGGTGGAGGAAATACCACCAAGGCTCCCGAGCTGAACCTGTACTCGAATTTCGGGAGAGGGGGAACGTCTTCCCGTCACAGCAAAACTCAGCGTGGGAAGCAGTGCAAGTCTAAAATGTTTAAAGGTTGATATGAGATTTTGGTCTCTAATAACGACAAAATTCAAATACTGGAAATTAGCTTTTTTGTCCCCCCCAAAGACAGTATGTTATGTAGTGTATGCTGACCTAAGTAGAGCAATCCTGCTTGGTCCTTTCCACTTCCAAAGTGCTTCCCAAAGCTGGAATTGCAGCCTTATGTCCAACGGTTTTATGCACTGCTGCAAATGAAACCCTGGGCTTCCCGCAAGTTTAGAGGGAGAAACTGTATTATTTGAGAACAAGATTTAAAGATTTCTATGCCAGGAAGTTTGGGCCAGATGCATGTTTGTGTATCTATTGTTGAGGCAGGGTTTCACTGGCTGGAACACTCTATGTAGCCCAGGCTGTCAAGAAACACATACGTCCTACCTTCAGCCTTCTCAGTACTGGGGGTTACCTGCCTGTGTTGCCACTCACTGGCAAGATTTACAAAAAGGTAAAATAGTATGGAGACAGAGAAGGAGTTTATAGCTCAAAACAGTCTTGATTAAAAACCCGTGACTCGAGCAGTGGGTGGTGCACGCCTTTATTCAGAGGCACTTGGGAAGCAGAAGCAGATTTCTGACTTTGAGGCCAGCCTGGTCTACATAGTGAATTCCAGGACAGCCAGGGCTACACAGAGAAACTTTAAAGGATGGGGGGTGGACACTGAATGGAACAGTGAATCAGATTTCTTGGACAAAGGAGCACCAGCCACTCTGTAGGGAAGGAAAAAGGCAGGCAGAGTGGTTCATAGCAGTAATTCCAGCATTCTGGGCCCTGTTACTGTTGAGACACTGTTACAAAGAAACAAGAGAGAAAAACAATTGCACATAGTCTAAGATCTGAGCGCTTAGCTGAGTGCACATGGTTCTAATACCATTTGTTCAAAAACTTTCCCCTCTAAATTGCTGTGGTATGCTTGTTCAAAAATCTATTAATGGGGCTGGAAAGATGGCTCAGCTAAATGAAGAGCACTTGCTTGCTACACCTCCAGAGGATGAGATTTAATTCCCAGGGCCCAGATAGTGGCTCCCAACGAGGAGGATAGGATGCCCTCTGGTGACCTCCATTGTTACCATTTTACATGGGTTTTTTTGTTGTTGTTGGGTTTTTTTTGTTTTTTTTTTTTGGTTTTTTGAGACAGCGTTTCTCTGTAGCTTTGGTGCCTGTCCTGGAACTAGCTCTTGTAGACCAGGCTGGCCTCGAACTCCCAGACATCCACCTGCCTCTGCCTCCTGAGTGCTGGGATTAAAGGCGTGCGCCACCCGCCCGGCGACCATTTTACATGTTGTGCACAGACATTCAGCAAAACAACCATATACATAAAAGGGTTTGGGATTTGTTTTTAAATCATTTGACTATAGAATGCTGGATCTCTTTCTATACTTCTTATTTGTTTGTTTGCTTGTTTGTTTGAGACAGGGTTTCTCTGTGAAACAGTCCTGCTTGTCCTGGAACTCATTTTTTAGACCAGGTTGTCTTCTAACTCAGAGATCCACCTGCCTCTGTCTCCCAAGTGCTGGGATTAAAGGCGTGTGCCACTACCTCCTACCCAATATTTCTTAAAGAATTTTTACATCAAAGAGTTGAATGGTTATGCTACTAATGTCTTATTTTCTACAGACTGCCTGTCTGTTTTTTTAAAAATAGGGTTACACTTTGTAGGCCTGTCTGCCCGAGAACTCACTATGGAGACCAGAATTGACTCACCTGCCTCCCCTTAGGAAGAGTAGGGATTAGAGACCTTTGCCACCATTCCTGGCTTCCATAAAATGCTGATGGCCCATGCAATAGGTAATGAATTTAAAGATAGCAATGTTACCAATGAGACATAAGCCTCTAAGTGATCATCAATTCCACAAAGCAATTCTGAAGAGGGGAAGACTACTCCCAGGGGATTATTTGGAAATGTTTGGGAGTATTTACCCTGACATCTATGGGAACAATTGCTGGGTAATATGGAGAGGAGTTGGGGACATAGCTAAACATTCCACAATAAACAGGACATCCTCCTGCAACAAAGAAGTCCTGTCCAGAGATTTGGAGTATAGCTTCGTGGCAGAGACTTAGGTTCAATCACCCGTTCAACCAGAAGAAAAGAAGAAAGATGCGAAGAAAACAAAGAAATCCTTCTGAAAGCACCAAAAATGACAAGAATAAGAAATCCTGGTTTAGCATAGAAGGCAGAATACCCAAAGATATAAATATATTAGTATTTTAAACAGTGATTGAAATACTAAGACAAGCTGGGCAGTGGTGGCATAGGACTTTAATCTCAGCACTTGGGAGACAGATGCAGGTGAATTTCTGTGAGTTCGAAGCTAGTCTGGTCTACAGAGCGAGTTCCAGGATAGGCTTCAAAGCTACACAGAGAAACCCTATGTTGGAAAAAAAATTAATAAAACAACAGCAACAAACAGTTTCACCCCCTCATCTCTGATGTATTAGCATTACATTTGGAAAAAAACATGTATAATAAAAATGTATTACAATTATGTGTTTCCACCACTATATTGTGAATGCTCATAAATCTTCCTAATGGTTTGGTCCTTGACTAAAAAGAGTACAATATCAAGAGGAACCTCCATCGACACCTGAGTGTCCTCTATCCTTTCTCAGATATGCAGCAACCCATCCCGTGATTAGCTCCATTACTCCCAAGGTGAGTCCTATATTTGGTTCTCATCCCTAGGCATCCATGGATTAAAATGTCATGCTTATAGTTCAGTAGGACTCTCACACTGTACCCTAGTGGAAATAGTTCCCCCGAGAGCAGAGCATCTGTTCTGTTTCCTTTCTGTGGCTGTGATAAAAGATTCTGACTGAAAGCAACTTAGAGGAGGGAAAGGATCTGCTGGGCTAACACTTCCAGGTCACAGTTCATCACTGAGAGAAATCAGGGCAGGAACTCAAGGCTGGAGAGTGAAGCAGAAACCCTGAAGGATTGCTGATTCTTTAGCAAGCTGGCTTTCTGGACAACCCACTGAGGAATGGTGCCACCCACAGTAAACTAGACCTTCCTGTGTCAATTACCAACACAATCCCCATAGGCCAATCTGATCTGGGCGATTTCTCAATGGGGACTTTCTTCTTAGATGGCCCTAGGCTTCGTCGGGTTCAGGAATGGATAGCATAAATGCAAATGAGTCTCTAATTTCTTCCTCTTAAGGACAAGGAATTACACAAAGATATTGAATTCGTTTTGGGAGTATGTTTTTTAAAACATTTGTGCATTCCTGGTGTCCATGGAAGCCAGAAAGTGACATCGACTCTTATGTTGTGAGCTGCCATCTGAGTTTTGGGAACTAAACCTGGGTCCACTGCAAGAGCAAAGTGCTCTTCACCACCAAGCCATCTCTCCAGCCCAATGATATTGTATCTCTCTCTCTGTCTCTCTCTGTCTCTGTCTCTCTCTCTCTCTCTCTCTCTCTCTATATATATATATATATATATATAAAACGATCTTTAAAAAAATGTATATCTATCTCTCTGTGTGTATATATTTATATTATATACATTTTTTTAAAGATCGTTTTTTTTTAAATTTTTTCTTTTTTTATTTGTTTGGTTTTTTAAATTAATTTATTTATTATGTATACACGTATATGCCCGCAGGCCAGAAGAGGGTACCAGATCTCATTACAGATGGTTGTGAACCACCATATGGTTGCTGGGAATTGAACTCAGGACCTTTGGAAGAGCAGACAATGCTCTTAACCACTGAGCTGTCTCTCCAGCCCCGTTTTTAAAGTAATTATTTCCTGGAGGAGAAAAAGAAATCCCTAGACAGCTTCCTCCCTTAGGTTATATCTTTGCTTTAGTGGAGTGACATTTGAAATTAAACAGGCATCTATGGAAAAGACCAAGCACGGAGAGGCATTGAGAGCACACCGTGTGGTACTGGAGGCATTAAGTTTCTAACTGCACAACCCACAGCAATTTTAGATAAACAACATTCACTGCTTCTCCACCGCATCCACAGCACAACAGAAACCAGGTCACGTAGCCACTGTCGGCGGTCACTCTTTTGTTTTATTTTAAATCATAAAAAGGAGTATTTCTGTAACTCACAATGTGAGTCGTGTTCCTAACACTTTAGGTATGAAATATTATTGTTCATCAATTTGCTATTCAAATTGAATTTTTCAAAAACAGCATGGCTTGTAAAAGTTGTTGCATAATAACAGGGGTGTGAGTTAATTTCATAATGTTAATCCAATACACATATAAATGCAGATATTTTCTAAAGCAATAACAGCATTAACATATAACTCCTTAAGAACTCAGGAGGAAAGGGTGACAGAATTTAAGAGTCTTTTCCAGGTATTTTAAATTTTCTGTAAAGCTCTTTATCCCAAGACTGATCATTTAAACATGGAACACCAAATACAAAAGACCTTGTTCTGTGTGGAGGTGGGGAAACAGAAATGAACACTTTCATATAATAAAATCTTCTGGTTGCCCTTGGTTTGGCTCGTGGAGCATCCTGTCTACAGGCCTATAGTTGTAAAAGAAAACATCGCTGTCATCTGCTGGCGGGTATTCCCATTCCATGTCGCCTAGGAAGCCACTTCCTGAGCCAGAGCCTGAACCAGAGCCAGAGCCAGAACCAGAACCAGAGCCCGAGCCCGATCCGGAGCCAGAGCCCGACCCAGAAACATCTTCAGAAATAGGGAAGAAATTATCCGGAAATCCTCTCGTCCTGAAATACAAAGAAAAATATAAAATTATACTTATAAATAATGTAATTTTAATATTTTAACATAAAGAAATAAGCTGCGTATGGAGCAACACAAATGATTGCAGCTTTTGGGCAGTGGAGGCTGCAGGATCCGAAGTTTGACGTCATCCTTGGATCCATGGTGACCTGCAGCCAGCATGGGCTATCCAACCCTTCTTCCAATAACAAAAATGGGGTCGGGGTAAGGAGCATAGTGGGGAGTGGAGGCAGAACATGGAAATCAATTTAGGCACTCAGTTGTTGAAATTCAAGGAGTTAAAACTGTCTTCAATGCTTCCAAACAAAAGGCCAGGGCTGAAGAGACAACTCAGAGGTTAAGAGCAATGGCTGCTCTTGCAGAGGATCTGGGTTCAGTTCCCAGCATCCACATTGAGGCTCACAACCACCTATAACTCCAGTTTCAGAGAATCTGACACCTTCATCCAGCCTTCTCCAGCACCAGGCAGGCGTGTGGTTCCTGCACATACATGCAAACACTCACACATGTAACACATATATGCAGACTAACACTCACAAACATTAAATGAAAATAGAAAAATCTTGGGTCAGAGAGATGGCTCAGCAGTTAAGAGCACTAGCTGCTCTTCAGAGGTCCTGAGTTCAATTCCCAGAAACCATGCAATGGCTCACAATCTTCTGGGATGAGATCTGGGGCCCTCTTCTGGCTTGCAGGCATACATGCAAGCAGAACACTGTATCCATAATAAATAAATAAACCTCTAAAAAATAGATAATTTTTTTTTGTTTGTTTGGAGCCTGTCCTGGAACTAGACCAGGCTGGCTTCGAACTCACAAAGATCCACCTGCCTCTGCCTCCCGAGTGCTGGGATTAAAGGCGTGTGCCACCACCGCCCGGCTAATTGTTTCTTCTTAAAGAAAGGGCACACCACTAAATCATTCTAGAAAGATGACACTGTTTCCTAACTTAAGCTTTTGACAAAACTTCTATTACTTCTAAACTCACAAAGTGTTAAAACAAAGAGCACTCTTCCTTTGTCTTTTGAGATATGTAGACTGTCATTATGAAGGCCAAGTTGGTCCCAGGCTCTTGACTCTCCTGCCTCTGCTTCCTAGGTGCCAGGTTTGAAATTTTTTTTAGACAGAGTTTCACTTCTATATCCCAGCCTGGCCTAGAACTCACTATGCAGATCAGACTGCCTCTGCCTCCTGAGTGCTGGGATTAAAGGTGAAAGCCACCATACCTGGAAGAGGGTATTAACCTTACCAGAATATAAACATTAGATTTTTCTCTACTAATATAAGACTTGAATATGTACTCCTGAGCTAAAGCAGGAAGCCACCAGGGCTGAGTTACGTGGGTTGGTTCGACACACATAATTTAATCTAAAGAGCACCTAAAAGCCAGACCAGAGAAAACGGTGCCACCCATCCTTGGCAAATCGGTAGCAGCGCATCTTTGGCAAAAATTGAGTTCAAGCCCAGAATGGTGGCACAAGCTAGTAGGAAAAAGAGACAAGGGGATGACCACAAATTTGTGGCTAACCTGGTCTACATACCAAAACCCTGCCTCAAGAGTGGAGGGGGGGTGTTTGAATGTGCTAGCCTGAGGGTCATTTTCTCCAGGAAAATCACAAGTGACATTGATCAGATTTATAGCAGCCATGCATCCAAAAAATAAATTATTTGTTGACCTGTCCCCACTGCTTGAGATACAACAGGAAAAGAAAGGGGAGGTCTCTGATCTAGAAGTTAACACTCTAGTGAATACATCAGTCAGGAAGATGGCAGGGAATGCAGAAACAGGAAGCAAAAGTCATCTAATGTGCCCAGAAGGCTGATTCAGCCTGTCAGGTCACAGAAAGCTGGATGCAGACATCGCAGTTACTAACATACAGATGGGAATAGAAAGCTGTGGAACAGGCAGAGGTCACCTTGAGAAAACACGAAGGCCTGTGACAGAGCCAGGACACACAATGTTAAAATAAGCAAAAGAGAACACAGCCAAGGAAACCCAACAACTCGGAGAAGGTGACCAGTAAAAGCCCACAGAAAGGGGCTTTCAACGGAAGTGGCAAGTCAATCATTTTATAAGGCAGTGAAGTGGTCAAGGAACCTAAACACAGAGACACAATCAATAACTGTGTCTCAGTCACCAAATACTCTGGATTGAGAAGCAGGAGTCCAACTGTATGTGTCGGGAGAAGGGGCAAGCATAAGCGCCCATTCTAGGAAGGGCTGATGTGCCAAGTATGGTGGCGCACACCTTTAATCCCAGCATTTGAGAGGCAGAGACAGGTAGATCTCTGATTTCAAGGCCAGCCTCGCCTATAGAGCAAGTTTCAGGACAGACATCCCATATAGTGATATGAGACCCTGTCTCAAAAAGAAATTTTGATATAATGAAGATCAGAGTGGGGAAATAGCTGTAAAGACAGAGAGTCGGGGTGGTCCATCCGATGTCAGGAAGCCCTAGACTCTGTCTGTGTACTGATGGGAGAAGATGCTGGATCCGGAGAGGCAACTGCAGAATAGAAGTCTGAGACAAAGTGGTGGGTATAGGGTACAGGGAAATCCCTGAATATTTAACTCAAGGGGAGCTGCTTAAACATGGAGTAGTAGGGAAGTGGAGCCAGCAAGAGACAGCAAAGGAACCAGAGATGACCAACTGGCCTCTCCCCACACCCGCCAGCAAGATGGCTCGTCACATAAAGGTGCCTGCCATCAAGACTGATGACTTAGCTTCAATCCCCTAGACAATAACTCGCTCCTGTAAAATGTCCTCCAACCACCACACCTTCCTCAAAGCATGTTCCTGCAGGCAAACACGCGCACACAAATGAAATACAAAAGTACGCTGCTCCTCAACTGTAGACAATCACAGCGCCACCACAGCAGGAACCTGAAGAGAAACACTCCGCCACTTCTGGGAGATCAGACTCAAGTCCACTTACAGAAAAGGATTGCTCATTGGAGGGCCAACGTTGTCGGGTCCATCTGCCATTAGGTCAAACAGGGGTCCTTTCTCTTCCACGCAGTTTGCAGAGATGCTGTCGGGATTGCAGCGTACCCACTGGTACCTGGCTCTCCGAGCAGGATAACCTGTCCGAACAAGGAACCCACAAGGTGGTAAGTATCCCTCATATTGGAATGATTACACTCTGTCTCTAACAAGTTAAACGGATTTTTTCCTTTTTTCCCCCTTCAAAACAGTGTGTCTCTATATATAGACACACACACACACACACACACACACACACACACACACATATATATATATATATATATATATATATATATATATATATACAGTGTGACTGTCCTGGAACTCACTCTGTAAATCAGGCTGGCCTCAAACTCAGAGATCCTCCTGCCTCTGCTTCCCAAGTTCAAGTGCACAACCACTGCCTGGCTGATTTAAATTATTTTTATTTTTATTTATTCATTCATTTATTTATTTTGATTTTTAAAAATATTTATTTATTTATTTATTATGTATACCATATTCTTTCTGCGTGTACGTCTGCAGGCCAGAAGAGGGCACCAGACCTCATTACAGATGGTTGTGAGCCACCATGTGGTTGCTGGGAATTGAACTCAGGACCTTTGGAAGAGCAGGCAATGCTCTTAACCACTGAGCCATCTCTCCAGCCCCTATTTTGATTTTTTGAGACAGGTTTCTCTGTGTAACAGCCCTAGCTGTCTTGAAAGTAGCTCTTGTAGACCAGGCTGGCCTTGACCTCACAGAGATCTGCCTGCCTCTGCCTCCCAAGTGCTGGGATTAAAGTTGTGCACTACCACTGCCTGGTCCTAATTTAAAATTGTTTATTTATTTTTATTTTTTTTTTTTTGGATTTTTGAGACAGGGTTTCTCTGTAGCTTTTTGGTTCCTGTCCTGGAACTAGCTCTTGTAGACCAGGCTGGCCTCGAACTCACAGAGATCCGCCCGCTTCTGCATCCCGAGCGCTGGGATTAAAGGCGTGCACCACCACCGCCCGGCTTTAAAATTGTTTAAACCTACATTTTATTGATTAACTTGGGGGAGGAGCATGTGTGTACTAAAGCACACAAGTGAAGGTCAGAGGACAGTTTTTAGGAGCCGATTCTCTCCTTCTATCACATGGGTTTCAAGGATTTGACTCCGGTCGTCGGGCTTAGTGCCATTACCCGCTGTGGTGTCTTGACGGTCCCTATACAGAGACCAGAGCTTCTTGCCACCTCTTATGGATTTTTTTGTTCTGTTTTGTATTTTTCGACAGCATCTCACACTGTAGCCAGGGCTGGCCTGGACATTCTATGTAAACCAGGATGGCAGGAAATGTGTGGAGATCTATCTGCCAGCCTCTGCCTCCCGACTGGCCTCAAATGTTTGGAGTGCAGGTGCACGCCACCTTTGAAAGCCATGAGATACATGCTTTCTGATGCGCTTTAATGAGGCTGGAGCTGGCGAGAAATACCACAGCACCTGTGAGTGGCTCATCTTCTCCCCATCCAAAGACAGGCTTTATGCAGCTCATAATCACCCAGCAATGAGGAGCGCGCCTAGAACTCTCGCCAAGGAGGGGAAGTAGTTTGACAGCTCAGGATGGAAGAGGAGGAAACATTTCAGAGAAATGGCAAGGTGGCCACTTGTCACAGGATATGGATCAAAGGGTAATAGAAGTTCTGGAAGAAAGTATTGATAGCACAGGAAACCCATAATTATGAATGAGTTTGCTGGGAGTATAGCTCAGAATATGTGCTTAGTGTGCGCCAAACTCTGGGTTCTCTCCAGCCCCCCACAGTATCTCCACTTAATTTCTTTTAATTGTATGAGTGTGTGTGCCCTGTATAAGACCAACAGGTACTTTTAACTGATGAGCCATCTCTCCAGCTCAGGCTCAAAAAAAAATTTTTTAAAGAGATTTGTTTTAATATAACACACACACACACACACACACTGTTCTGCCTGCAGGACAGAAGAGGGCACAGGATCTCACTACAGCTGGCTGTGAGCCACCATTGGGTGCTGGGTATTGAACTCAGGACCTCTGGAAGAGCAAGCAGCCAGTGCTCTTAACCTCTGAGCCATCTCTCCAGTCCCTTAAAAATTTAAGTAGTCCCTTAAAACTATAAGAATGAAGGGCTGGGCAGTGGTGGTTCACATCTTTAATCCCAGCACTCAGGAGGCAGAGGCAGGAGGATCTCTGTGAGTTCGAGGCTAGCCTGGTCTATGGGAGCAAGTTCCAGGACAGGAACCAAAGCTACAGAGAAACCCTGTCTTGAAAAACAAAACAAAATAAACAAACAAAAGGATGAAGGAGAAATAAGAAAGTGCAACACGCCTTTGCCCACATCATCGATTCAACATCAACAAAAAATCAGGAAAGTGGGAGAAAATACATACAAAGTATTATGTTAGTAGAATCTGGCAAGTTTCAAACCACATTTTCTAAACTGCTGTAATAAGCAACATTCCTCTGTGACATAAAAAACACTTAAAAGACTCTAACATAGAGCTGGAGAGATGGCTCAGGGGCTAAGTCCTTACTGCTATTGCAGAGGATCCAGGTTCCGTTCCCAAAACCCATAGGTTGCTCCCCCTCTACTAACTACTGTTGAAGGGGATCTGATGCCCTCTTGTGGCCTCCACAGGCATCAGGCATGCACATTGTGCAAACTTACTTGTAGGCTAAAACCTCATAAACATTAAAAAAAAAAGACATGAAATTATGTTTAAAAGAAAATATAGGTTCCTGGAATGTTGCCAGCACCGTAGTCACAGCTCTCCAAATGCTGGACACCTGGATGAGGGAACAGCCTGGGTCCATTTCTGAGAGTAGACAGCTTGGAGGGAGACCCTGTCACCACTTAGAACCGCTCCGGTTCTCAGTTTACTGGGTTTCAAATGTGAATAATGATACAGTTATTCAAACGAGAAGAAAGTCTGTAAAGCCAGCTGACACAAGCTTTTGCATACGGCCCATGTTCAATGCATTTTAATCCTTTTTCCCTGAACCTCTTGATTTTTCTCTGAGTGTCTTGTATCTGCAGAGAGGGGAAATGCAGCCTGTTGTCCAGCAGAGGGCAATGCCTTCCCACCTCAGCTGCCTTAGGCTAGCCTCTCCAATAAAAACAGCACCAACTCCATCTGAGGTTGAATGTTTCAGAAATATCGTTTTTCTTTGTTTCTTTTCTTCTTTAGCAGCCATAATTTTGAGTTAAAAAACCGTAAAAACCAAGTACATGTTGGTTGAACATATTAAAATATTATCACTTAACAGAATCAACATAAAAGATATGAGTAGGATAATCTATTCTGTTTTAAACCAACTCTTCTATGTTTTGCCTATTTTGAGCTCACATGTTAATTTAGACTCTGCATAGTTCAAGTGTTCTGAAGCCACAGGGAGCTGCTGGCTACTGGATGGGACAGGGCAGTCCCCTCTGCCAGTAGCTGATGCCCTATCAAGTGGAGAAAATGTGAGCTTGAGGAAGTTCTACTGCAGAGCTAACTGAAGGTTTTTACTTCCCTTTCAGGGCTGAGATCAGACCCAGGGCCTCAGGCATCCTCTGCAAGTGCCCTACCACTGAGCAGCATCCCAGCCAACAACATCTTTCCGTAATCGGAAACAAAACAAAAACTATAACTGTGGCAGAAGAGCAAAACAAGTCTCTGAACTGGAAAGATCCCTCCCAGAATTCAGACTACCTGGGAATCAGGAAGGCTTTCTAAAAGCTGATGCTGAGAGTTACACAATCTGTAGCCACATCGTGTATGTAGGGGAGTGGGCTGTATAGCGTAGAAAGGGCATCTTACTAGAATTGCTTCAGGATTAATGAAAGGTAATGAAGGTAGCTCAGCTGGGAGAATTCTTGCCTAGCATGCACTAAGCCCTGGGGTGCTCCCCCAGCCCTGCACAGAACAGATATGGTGGTGTAGATCTGGAATCCTAGTACTCGGGGAAAGTGGAAAGATGGCCACACGTCCGAGGCCAGGCTGGTCTACAAAGCAGGCTCAAAGTTAGCCAGGAATATGTGATGTGGTTCTGTCTCAAGAAAACAAACAAACAACAAGTAAAGGCGGGGTGGAGGCTCAGCTACCAAAGGGTGCCCTTTGAAAGCACAAGGGCTTGGGTTTTATCCTAAGAATTTACATGTGAAGCCAGGCTGTACACACTTTTAATCCCGGCAATGAGGAGGCAGAAAAAGGGAAATCCCTGGGCTCACTGGCCAGCTGGTCTAACCTGATTGGTGAGCTCCAGGCCAAAGGAGATGGACAGTGTTCCTGAGGATGACACTGAGGTTGTCATGTGACCTCCATGTAGACGTGCAGGCTCACACAAATATGCACACACACACTCATAAGTAAACAAATAAGGAAATCAAAAGTAGAAATCGTCCCATTCTGAAATCCACCCAGTTTTTACTCTAATGAAATTAAAGGTCCATTAAAATAAAGAGTACTACTCAGCAGTAAAAAACAAGGACTTCTTGAATTTTGCATGCAAATGGATGGAAATAGAAAACACTATCCTGAGTGAGGTAAGCCAGACCCAAAAAGAAGAACATGGGATGTACTAACTCATTTGGTTTCTAGCCATAAATAAAGGACATTGAGCTTATAATTAGTGATCCTAGAGAAGCTAAATAAGAAGGAGAACCCAAAGAAAAACATATAGGCATCCTCCTGAATATTAACCTTCATCAGGTGATGAAAGGAGACAGAGACAGAGACCCACATTGGAGCACCGGACAGAAATCTCAAGGTCCAAATCAGGAGCAGAAGGAGACGGAGCACGAGCAAGGAACTCAGGACCACGAGGGGTGCACCCACACACTGAGACAATGGGGATGTTCTATCGGGAACTCACCAAGGCCAGCTGGCCTGGGTTTGAAAAAGCCTGGGATAAAACCGGACTCGCTGAACATAGTGGACAATGAAGACTACTGAGAACTCAAGAACAATGGCAATGGGTTTTTGATCCTACTGCACGTACTGGCTTTGTGGGAGCCTAGGCAGTTTGGATGCTCACCTTACTAGACCTGGATGGAGGTGGGGGTTCCTTGGACTTCCCACAGGGCAGGGAACCCTGATTGCTCTTTGGGCTGATGAGGGAGGG